GGGAAAGAGCAACAACAGCTAACCAAAAATGATGAAAAATTCAGAAAATTTCGGGGAAGAAAATAAGTTTTTACTGAATGCTCAAAGCAGCAATACCTTCTGCCAAAGCCCAACTCTATTTAATAAATACTAATCTACTCATTACCTAAATTCTCTTCAGGGTATGACTCACTGACCATTGCACTATAAAGCTACATTACTTACTTTCACTGCAGGGCTCTCATGTGAAATGGAGCTGTGTATATTGAAATTTCTTTCTCCAAAAACAGAGCGCTGGACAGAAAGGCCTACAGATCCCTCCTACAATACCAACAAAAACAAGGAAAATAAGGATTATATCTGTAACACTTTCTGCCAGCTGTACTCTGCCATAGTTTTGAAAGAGTTAAGTGACATGAAAGAAAAACAGCTGCATCCAAGTCATTTTCAGGCACCAAACACTTCTGTGAAAGGAGAACATAGTCTAGACAGAACTCTTAATATCCATACAATGTTATCATAGTTCCCAAATATATAAAACTAAAAAAATTCAAAAACCACCTGCATGGATGTTACGTTTTACTGTGCAGCTAAAATGGAGATAGACACTTCAGAATTTTTTTCCCCTATAATGTTTTCTTAAACAGAATTAACTTATCTATATTTATAACATGCAGGGAAAATTTGTTACTTTTCATCTTTGTCATATAATGCAATTTTTAAACATTTAATAAGAGACTATATTTCATGAAAGTAAATTTTTGTTTTGAAATACTAAAATAATTCAGTATAACTCTTAGAGAAAATCTCATCAACTGACATGTAACAAAAGTAAAAAAAGTACATTTTTTAATCCTATCCTAGCATCATAGCTCCCTCTGTTGGACCAAGGCGTACATTTCTAAAACAGAGTTAGTACTTAAGAATTAAGAGGTAGAACCTTTCCATCTTTTCCTTGTTTAATCTGAATTTGTGCATTTGTGTAGGGTCTTTTAACAGAAGTTTTTGTGGTACATTGCTGATCCAGTTCCTTAGGTGTTGGGCCACTCGTTGAAATCTTGTTTCCCATGACGAGGTGTGACTTGTTTTGTGAACAACTTGCCTGCTGAGTTTCAGACTGGACAAATTTGAGAAGCTCTATTTTCGTATCATGGGTTCCTTGGGCCAAACCAAAGTCTACCAAGGCGTACCTAAGAAACAAAATAAGTAGATTTACTTCTCTATAACAATTAAAGTGTAGTAACACTGTAATACTCTTAAACCATACTCATAGAGAAACTGTAAATCTTTTTGGAATCAATTAGGACTCCTTTAACATTCCTGAAAAAAGAAAAAGAAAATAAGTTTTCCAGGCAAAGAATTTAATAGCTAACTAGGATAGAAAATTAAGAAAAGCTGTATCCCACAATCAATCAACTTTTGCTCTCCACCCAATGGCTTGTGCTGACAAGGCAGAAAAGGAATGCACAGCCTACGTATAATCCTTTGTTCACTGATGGTAGCAAAGATGGTATCACAGCAGATAAATTCTTTTTTTTTTTTTTTTAATTGTTAGAGGGCTCATATATGCTAGGGAAATAGAGACAGGAAGTGGAGAAAGAAAGTACTCCTCGGGACCAGCATTTAGCGTAATGGCTATGTTGTTGAACTCCCACGTAGTTGACTGCGGTTTGCGTCCTGGACCTGGTGGTTTAAATTCACATCGGGCACATGTGCATGCATGCCCAAGATCCCAAGAGAAGAATGGAGAAGGGATTGTAGTGTGGCCATCCCCCCCTGGGGTGATTTCTTGCTTTCTGTCTCTCTGTCTCTCTCTTTCTGGCAGGTGCACATGCCCTATAGCAAAAACCTTTCCAAAAAAAAAAAAAAGTACTCTTCAATTGGGCATAGTCAATTGCAATTCCTTCTCCTCCATTTTTCCATCCTGTTAGAATCTGGGGCATGAATGTACACATGCCTGGCATGTTTTACAAGCTGCTGAGGCTGGGATTCAAACTACAGTTGGCCATATGGGATCTGGCTCCTGTAATCACCAGTCTACAGATAATTTCTAATTACACAAATTTAAAAGAGAAAGAAATTAAAATTGTAATTTAACACTGGGTTTAATTAAAGAAATATGGGGGGAAAATTTGGGGAATAAAAGCCTAAGAAAGAAGTTGTAGTCTCAATCTTCTTACCACATTCAATATGATCTATTGTATAAACAGTGGTATTAAGCTATTTTCAGCATATAATGCCTCAAAGTATATAATCAACATGAAAAATATACATTAAAAACAGGACTTTAGGGACCAGCAGATGGCGTAATGGTTACATTGCTGGACTCCCATATGGCTGACTGCGGTTCGAGTCCCAGACCAGGTGGCTTCAAACTCAGGCCAGACATGTGTACGTGTGTGCTCAAAATTCTGAGAGGAGAATGGAGGAGAAGGGATTGAAGTGTAGCCATCCCCCCTGGGGGGTGATTTCTCACTTTCTGTCTCTCTATCTCTTTCTGTCTCTCTGGTGAGCTCACACCCCCTGTAGCAAAAATATCTCTTAAAAACAAACAAACAAAAACCAAAACAACAGAACTTTAGTGTTATAACAGGAAACTGGCTATTTTGTAGTCCAAGTCTCTCATTTACTGGAACACAAAAATGAAATCCTGAGGCAAGAAACATGTGTAAGGTCAAAAAAAGAGGCTAGAAGCCAGCCAGTGATGTGGTGGTGAAGGTAGCTGGATCCCACACGGCTGACTGCATAGTTTGAGTCCTGGATCTGGTGGCTGAGACACTTCCTGGGTACATGTGTGTGCATGCCCAAAATCTTGAGAGTAGTATGGAGGGGAAGGGATTGCTCCCTATGGGGAGATGCTTTCTCACTCTCTCTTTCTCTTTTTATTTCACTTTCTCTGGCAAGCACACATACCTTTACAGCAAAAACTTAAAGAAAAAGACCAGATTCTTTCTGTATCTCTTTTAGCTAAAGCGCTATTTCCACTGAACTATGGTACATCTAATGATATATACTAATTTATTAATGAAGTTTTATCTTCCCCATCACTTCACCTCCCTTTCAAAATAAAAATTTTTAATCTGTGCATAGCTGCTGCAGTTATGTTCTATGTTTAAAAGATAGACTCCATAGCATAAATTCACTCAAGAGAAAAGTATTTTCTGAGAACTCTGGATACTTACTTTTTTAGGTGTCTATTATATAAAAAGTTGCTGGGCTTAACATCACGGTGAACAATACCAAATTGATGAATGCGTTTCAAAGCTTTGAAGAGATTAAACATATATTCCCGTACTTCTTGAAAGGAAAGAGAATTCAAAATGTCCTAAAATAAAGTTATGAATGAGGTTATAAAATTGTTTTCAATTAAATATTTAGCTAGTAAAAAGTCAAGAAATAGTAAAACCTACCAAAAAAGATTCATGTTCCAGATACGGCATAGCAATAACCACATGATCATTTTTCCTAAAGCAGTATTTAACTCCCATCACATTGTCTTGCCCCCTAGTGGCAAAATGCACAAGGAACATTAGAGAAAAGGTCAAATGAACTAAAACTTTATGGCTAATTTTTTAAAATAAAATTTTAGCAATGTACACATATCGCTAGAAAACAGACTTTAAATTCTCATAACATGGTATATACATTTAAATGATTTGTATAAGAAAGTTTTCTTTTAACAACAAAAATAGCACCAGTTATGAAGTTATTATAATAATCCAAACATGAGACAGTAATAGTTTTGACTTGGACGTGGCAGAATGAGAAAGGAAAAATATGAGAAAGAATGAATTAGTAAGACTTACCAGATAAGATGGTAATAGTAATAATTTTTACAAATTATTTTATTTATTCATTTGTTTATTTTAACTTGATCAGAGAGAGAGTGAGTGTGTGAGAGAGAGAAAGGGAAAAAAATCAAGCCACCAGGTCCGGGACTAGAATTGTGGCCAGTCATGTGGGAGTGTCCAAGTCTTAACCACCATGCCATCTGTTGGTCCTGGTATAGTAATAAATTTTTTTAAATAGTAATTGTTGACATTTATTAAATATTCACTATATGCCAAATTTTGAACTAAGAATTTCATACCTACTTTTTTTAAAAAAATTTACTTAGCCATGGACGTGTGTGCCCAAAATCCTGAGGGGAGAATGGAGGAGAAGGGATTATGGCATGGCCATCTGGACACACACACCCCACCCTGTGAGGGGAGATTTCTCACTTCTTCTCTCCATCTCTTGTCTCTCCAGTGAGCACATGCACACTACAGCAAAAATCTCTCAAAAGAAAGAAAAAAGAAAGAAACTCCCCCAAGGCCACTAATAAGTCCAGGAGCCAGAATTTGAATCCAGGCAGTTTGCTCCAAATCTGTGCTCTTAATCACTATGCTACACTGCTTCAAAGATGTGAAACATAGAGTAAAGGTGATTTCTGTGGTTTTGAATCTGAGTAAAACAATTTGGATATCAACAAAATAGAAAAACCAGGAAAAGCATCTAAAAGTAAGACTTCAGCATTTTGAGAGAGAGATCTATATATGAGACTAAAGTGGGAATTCTAGTGAGAGTACCTACAGAAAGTGATATCAAAGTTATGAAAACACATACAGAAAAAAGAAAAACTGACCCTTGGGGAAAGTTTTGAGTTGGAGAGCAAAATAAAGATGGGGCACCAAAATGAAGAGTTTTAAAGGAACAGGTGAGCCACATAGAGCTTGAAGAGAATAAGGACCAAGGGAAGGTTTTTAGTTTGTTAAAGAGGAATTAACTGGTAGGCTGGCCTACTAGTCTAGTAGTTACAGGAGTCAGAACCCACATGGACAACTGTGGTTCAAATCCTAGCCCCAGTGGCTTAAAAAACATCCTGGTAAGATGTATGTACATGTTAAAAGCTCTGTCAGGAAAGAGGAACAGAGAAGGGACTGTAGCATCACCATACCCCATTGGAGGGTGCTTTATCCTACTCTCTAGCAAGGGGATATACCCTCTGGCAATTTTTAAAATAAGAAAAAAGAGGAATTAACTGGTCATTTTTCAGAGAGCAATTTAAATGGAAGAAGGAGGCAAAACAGAAGTTACAGAAGGAAGATAGCATATAATGTATGCAGAACACAAAGACAGTTTACCTGACTGCATTGTAAGATCAGATGAAGACTATTTTTTAAAAAATAATTATTTAACTTTATTTATTATTAAATTATTATTAATTTGACCAGAGAAAGAGAGAGAGGGAAAGTGAGAAAGCAAACTGCCAGAGACGGAACTTGAACTGCAGTCAGCCAAGTCAGAGTCCAGTGCCTTAACCACACCACCACCTGATGGCCTCCAAAGTGACATTTTTAGCATGTACTTTTTCTTAGAGAATAAAAGGTAGAGGGGAAACAGTCCAAGTATGGGAAAAGGAATTATCTTACTCAGGGGATTACAATGTATATGCAATCATGCCATACAAGAAGCCACCTCATTCTCCTCTTTTATAATAAAGAGAAGGGTGAAAAAAAGAAGTAGGTCGATACATTCACTCAATATATATTTAGTGGGTAGTTACTTGCCAGATACTATGCTACACATTAGGGATACAGTGGTGAATAAAACTAACACAATTTCTGTCCTCATGGAGTTTACTATCAAGTGGACAATACATATGATAAACACGGTGATAAACAATGACAGACTTTGGTAAATGTCTTGAAAGAAATCAGAAAGTGCTATGACAGTTTAAAAAAGAGAATCTAATTTAGTTCAGAGAAGACTTCTTTGAAATGGTGCCACTCTTGCTTACAACAGAAAGATGAGAAGTCAGCATCCAAAGACTGAGAGAAGACTAAAGGGTAAGCAGTTTGGGAAGTGGCCCTGAGGTTAAGAAAGATCTTGAGAGAAATCTGAAGAACTAGTAAAACCGGAGCACAGAAATGGAGGTAGAAAGATTGTCATTAAAGTTGAGTTGTTTTATTTTTTCTAAAGCACACTGGGTTTCTTTAGGTGTTTTCCATAGGGCACATGTACTCGCCAGAGAGACAGTGAGAGAAGTGAGAGGGAAACAGAAATCACCCGCCAGGGTGGGCTGGGTTTCTTTAGGTGTTTTCCATAGGGCACATGTACTCGCCAGAGAGACAGTGAGAGAAGTGAGAGGGGAAATCACCCGTCAGGGTGGGTGGCCATGCCACAATCCTCTCTCTCTCTTCCATTTCCCTCCTTAGATTATAGCCAGCACGCATACATGCCCAGTGTAGTTTTCAAGCCTCCAGGTTCAGGACTCAAATGGTGATCGGCCATGTGGTAGAACTAACATTACCCAATCTATATTACATATATATATTTTATGTATTTATTTAAATCACAGTGGTTACTGTGTGAAAATGGCATTAAGAAGAGAAGTAGGCTATACTACTATTCTACACTTAGACTGAGGTAATAGTAAAAAAAAAAAAAAGATATGTGTGAGTTTCTGGATACATTTTGGAGGCAAAAAATGGTCAGAACTTGGAGACAGATATGGTATAGGAAAGAGAGAAACTGAAAATGACTTCTAGGTTTCTGATTTGAGCAACTAGGTAGACTGCTGGTACCATTTGTGGAGATGGGTAGATAAAAACATTGTCATAGCAGGATTTTTTTTTTTCGCATAGGAAAGTAGATGAAAATTTAACCTGAGGTATATTAAGTTTGAGATATTTATTAGACACCCAAGTAGAAATGTCAAATAGGCAGGTGCATATAGACAAATCTGCAGTAAAGATAAAAGGTCTGAGGGTACATAAATACTTTTGGGAACCATAACTGTAAGCCATGCAAAAAAGCAGGATACTAGAAAAGAAAGGGCAGAGAGAAAAAGCACAGTATCAAGCACTAAGGAACTCCAATAATTAGGGATCAGAAGAAAAAAAAATACTGAAAATAAAAGGCCAAATGAGGCAGGAAGAAAACAAGAAGGTGTGGCAGCACAGATGCCAAAAGACAAGGGCACAGATGAATTACGTTACATGATGCTTAGAGTCATGACTGGCTCTAGACTAGTTTCAGTTCAACCTAGAGGACAGCAGCCACACTGAGTGTGTGGTGAAAGGGAGGTGTGGAAGTAAAAACAGTGTATGCAGATAATTATTTTGAAGACTGGCTGTGAAGAGGAGCAAAGAAATGATTGTACAGCTGGAAGAGGGAGGGCAGTGCACATGGGAATAAGATACTAGATCGTGTCCATATGTCGACAGGAATGATCTAGCAGAGAGTAACCAAGGAGAAAGACATACCGGATGATTCTGTTGTTCTAAATAAAAAATGAGATGAGGCTGTCAATAGCTGGGGAAATGTAAAATATGAGTCTCCCTATTTTTAAAAATTAATTAAAAAGTGGTTGAATCTTAAGGGAAATTCACTCTTAAAAAAATTAATATAAATTTAACTAATCAATGCAAGGTTAAAAGAAGAGTGCTGGCAAATTGCAAACATATGACTGAAAAATATGTTTAATTCATGTACAACCTCATCATCCTGTTAAGCATCTGCTTTAAAATATTATAAATTATATACAAATAGTTCAATTAAAATAGCTTTAAATTGCCTACCCAGCCACTGTTAGGCACTGAAGTTCAGCTGCAATTCTTATAGGATGACTTGTTGGAATTAAGTGTTTCAGAGCAATTTTCTCCTCGGGTCCGACTTTTAACTGTGCTGTGGCTAAATAAACAGAGCTGAAAGTGCCTGTAAAACAATTTATTAGATTTCTTAATATCTGGACTGTAAAACAGGTCAGAAAAAAATGCTCTAATGGCATAATAGATTAAAATAGAACTGCTCATTTTACTGTTAGATATTTATTATTTATACTTTCATTCTTTGCAAGGGAAAAAACTATTACCATAATTTCTAGTAGGACTATAGTTTTAATATATCAAAAGTGGTATATTTTTCAATAAGAAATAATGAAAGTAAAAATTACACAAGAAAAATAGAAGGAAAAAAAAATTTAAAAGGATAATAAAGTATACTTGCCAATTACCTTCTCCAATTTTATCCTTAATCTTAAACAAATTACCAAGCTGTGGTACAGCTTCATAAAGCTTCTCAATATCCTTTTTAACACCTATCAAGGAAATAAGATTCTATAGTTACAATTATGTATAAGTATTGTTACAAGAGTATATTTTACAATTTAAGTTTAAAAATGTCAACAAAATAAATTCTAAAACATGAGTGACTACAAATAGAAACATTTTAATAAGTCTTTTTTTTTTTTTCCTATAGCGTGCATGCACTCGCCAGAAAGACAGATAGAGACAGAAAGTGAGAAATCACCCCCCAGGGAGCATGGCCACACCACAATCCCTTCTCCTCCATTCTCTTCTCAGGATCTTAGGCACGCATGCACACGTGCCTGGCGTAAGTTTAAGCCACCGGGTCTAGGACTTGAACTGCAGTAGACTACACGGGAGTCCAGTGACATAGCCATTACGCTATCTGCTGGTCCCTTTTTAATGTCTTTAAAATCCCATAAACTGATTATAATTCACACACACCTCTTGAATGAATAGACAAAAAAGACAGTCCCCAAATCACACATACCAAATTTCTACTACACTGGAACATATTATAAAATATATTATTACATGGAATATTAACTCAATGAAGAAGCTAAATTTAAAAAATAACTAAATGATTTGGGCTGTGATCACTAGATGGCATGACAAGAACACAATGCAATGTTCTGGAAAACTACCTCCTTTCCCACAGATGTAAAAATCTTAGTCTTGGTGAAGTTCTATACATTAAATATTCACAGTATACCCTCAAGGAGAATGTCTACTAAAGCTCTCTAGTACGTTAAAAATTTTTTCAAAAATCTGTCCCAATACCAGTAGTATCCTCTATCCTTGGTGACAAATAAATTGCTATTTTAATAAATACGAGCTGTTATAAAAACATACGTAGTTAAAATAATGGGTGGGAATAATACAAAATCTAATAACCTACTGGATATAAATGAGAACTACATAAGAGTTTTTAGATTTTATAAGATTTAGACCTACTTTTTTCCATAATACTTTGTACAGTGCAACAGTTTAAAATTTCAAAGCACTTTTACATGCATTATCCTTTTTAATTTTTGTAATACCATTATGACATTGGCAGAACAGGAATTATTATTCTGATTTTTCAGATAAGGAAATTCTAATGAGGAAAGTGAAATTATTTGCCCAGTTACAGAGGTACTTCTGATGTCTGGAGATTCCCTCATTTAACGATACTGTTTTAAGAAATGTTCAGCAATGGGCGTATGATAGTTTCTTTTTGCTTTCTGCTTTTCAGTTTCCAGTAGTATAGTAAGACATTTTGGGAGTGAGAGACCACATCCACATAATTTTTATAACAGTATACTGCTAGTAATTGTTGTTATTAATATCTTATTGCATCAATTTATAAATTAACTTTACCACAGGTAGATAGGTATAGAAAAAAACAAAGTATATATAGGGTTCAGTATTGTCCATGGTTTCAGGTATCTACTAGTTTTGGAATATATCCCCTATGCAGAAGACTACTGTATGAAAAAATGAACAAATTTGGTGCAGTCACTGCTCTCTAGGAGTTTAATCTAACAGAGGCTATCCGCTACCACTCTTAATACAATGATAATCCTTTTTAAAATTTATTTACTTTTTCTATGAGCAAGAGAGAAAGAGAAAGAATGACCATTAGGGTTTAGATACCTCAATCCCAACCCAGATCATGAGTGTACGTGAAGGTCTCCAAAAATGAACCCAGGATCTTCTCATGTGTGTCATCTTCTGGCCCATTCAATGATAATTTTAATAGATAAATGAATATACTACTATGTGGGGGAGTTTCTGGGAAGGATGAACACTTCTCAAGGGTCCACGAAGTCTTGGTGACAGGTAAACTGTGTTCTAAAGCATTCATTAAGTAGCAAAAGAAGATGGTTTTTTAGGAAGAAGGAAGTTCTGTATAAAGTCATAGAAAAGATGATATGGCGGATTGAGGTGGGATGAACATTAAGGGTATACTGAAATACAATGCGGCTAAGGAAGGGCAAGAGAGAAAGTGAAAGCCACAT